CAACAGCCCCTTGTCAAGAACTACATCACCGGATTTTCAACGCTGGTTGCAAAGTTCCGTTCGGCGCTTCGGGTCAGCACATTTCGCTTTCCTTCTAGTTGCCCTTACATTATTCGGCTGCTAGTCTGGAGTGGAACAGCTGTTCAATCAGCTCATGCGCCCGAAGCTGAGGAACCTCATAACGGACGTATACAAGGATGTTTCGTATGTCCTCGATGACGACTCGTATTCGGCAGCGGAATACCAGGATGTCGTCCGCAAACGCTTTATCAAGGCATGGGAAGGGCTGGTTGACGGCTACAAGGTCAGTTCCTTCTCTCAACCATGCCTAACGCCATCTGAGAATATGACGGATAGGACACATTCACCGAGTCCAATTATCGTTTGTTCTTCAGCCTCGCCCTCGATGTGCTCCTTCGACCCTGGGAAAAGTTCATGATGGGATTCAAGTTTACAGAGGTGCGTTAAGCCAGCTGTCGAGGGTTTTTCGCGTGTCTGATTCGTGCAGCTTGGTGCTATCCGCTTCGACCGCGATCTGCGTTCCATAACTACATACCTGTCGTCCCAGACCGCCTTTGGAGACGCGCGAGAAAAGTTTCTGCGCTTGCAGCAGCTGTCGACCATACTGAACCTCGACAATGTCTGTGATTTTCTCTGCTCATTCACTCCCTGTGGCTTACAACAGGTTTGTTTAGGAGGAGGACGTGGACGAGTTTTACAACGGATCGGGGATAACGTGGAAGCTGAGCGCACAGGAAGCGCGTGCGATAGCAGCTCTGAAATTGTAGTAGATTATGTTTGATGTACTCGACGCGTGACCGTAACGGACCTGCATTGTCCTCGTCTCTCGTCGTGCCTCTTGTCCTGCTCGCTGCTCTCCCTCTCGCCCCATGTCTGGCCTCAAAAACTCGACCTTTGGCAAGCGTCTCCGCGCGTCGCAACTCGACCCCGACGACGACCGGCCTCCCACAAACAGGCAGCGCACGGACGAAGACCTTCCCGACCCGCGCGATTATGGCGACCGCTTCATCCCCACACGCGACGCGGGCGACATGCGCACCTCCTACAACCTCAAGGACGACGCAGGCCCCTCGACTCCCTCCAAAAAGTCGAGAATAATCCCCTCCGAGTCGGACGCGCTAAAAGGTATGTTTTTGCCACCACTTCGGCGCGTGTCCGCCAACAGTCCCTTCTAGAGCAGGCAAATGCGCTCTTCAACTCGATTCTCCACACAGAAGTCACCCCGCCCGAGCACCACCGCCCCGCGTCCCCAACCCGCCCTCCACCCCCGCTCGCCGCATCCAACGCGCCCCCCTCAACACCCACACGCCGTCGCCTCTTCGCCTACCACTCTCCCTCCACATCCGCACCCTCCACCCCCACCCGCCGCCTCGACACCCCCACCGACTCCGCGTACTCCATGAGCCCCGTCCGCGCAGAAAGTCGCCAGCTGCTCGAGAGCCCCCGCCGCCAGCTCCGCAACGTCTGCAAGACACCCTATCGCGTCCTCGACGCCCCGGAGCTTGCAGAGGACTTCTATCTCAACCTCGTCGACTGGTCCAGCACAAACGTGCTCGGCGTCGGCCTCGGCAGCTGCGTCTACCTTTGGACCGCCCACAACGCAGCCGTCAACCGCCTCTGCGACCTCTCCGATACTAACGACTCGATTAGCTCCGTTTCCTGGGTCCAGAAGGCACGCCGTTTGTCCTAGTCATTTTTCGCCCACTAACTTGGAGTGCAGGGCTCGACCCTTGCCGTGGGAACCATCTCGGGCCGTCTGCACGTCTACGACGCCAATCGGCTCACCCTCCAGCGCACATATCAGCAGGCCCATACTCAGCGCATCGGCGCCATTGCATGGAACGCCCACGTCCTCTCCTCGGGCTCGCGCGACCGCATGGTCCACCACCGCGATGTCCGCGAGGCAACCTCGCGCCCCTTCAGGCGATGTTCTGGCCACCGCCAAGAGGTCTGCGGCCTAAAATGGAGCGGAGACGGCGGCGTCGCTGCCGCCAATCTCGCCAGCGGGGGCAACGACAACAAGGTGTGCATATGGGATCTGCGGGGGTCGAGACGAAGTAACAATGCCGGCGGCGCCGTCCGAAGTGCTGCAGGCACTCCCAATGCTGGCGGCGCCAGCGGCAGCGGCACTGCGGGGGGGACGGGAAGCGGGACGGATGACACGGGAGGCGACGCACCGCTCTGGAAGTTTCACGAGCACACGGCCGCCGTCAAAGCCCTGGCATGGGATCCCCATGTCTCGGGCGTCTTGGCCACGGGAGGCGGCACTCAGGATAAACACATTCGTTTCTGGAACACGATTAGCGGTACTATGCTCAACGAACTGGACACTGGGAGCCAGGTAAGCAAGCATGCACGTCTGTTGCCCACCCGCCAGCCTCTAACTGTTTCCAGGTGTGCAATCTGATATGGTCTCTGACATCGCACGAACTCGTCTCCACCCACGGCTTCTCGTCCACCACCGCTCAGAACCAAATATGCATCTGGAAGTACCCCACGCTCAACATGGTGGCATCGCTAACCGGGCACACCAACCGTGTGCTGTACCTCGCAATGAGCCCCGACGGGGAGACGATTGTGACCGGTGCGGGGGACGAGACGCTGAGGTTCTGGAATGCGTTTCCGAAGCGGGAGGTCGGGGAACGAGGTGCCGAGAGCCGCCTGGACTATGGACGGTTGATTCGCTAGTCATGCTGCATCTACTAGTTTTGTATCCTGGTTTTCACACAGCGCAGCTACGTATCCTATCGCATACTCTAACCCACGTATTCTGTATCACTTTTATTTTTTTTCGAGCGTCTGATCATGAACTCGCATCTTATCTCGATCATCTGATCTATTTGGTCCCATTTTTCCTGACTTGCTTCGACTCGAACTCAAACTCTTCCACGCCCATGGCTGACGAAACCTCTACCGCCCCCGCCGACGTCGCCATGACCGCTCCGGAAGCCGTGAACCCGCCCGCGGAGGGCGCGGCAACCTCTTCTTCGGGTTTGAATCCTGAAGACGCGGACACCATGCAGAAGGCTGCCAGACAGAGTTCGTCGGCCTGCATCCCAACTATATGACGACAACTAATCTATTCCTATAGTCGAGTTTTATTTTGCAGACTCGAACCTGCCGTACGATAAGTAGGTCGACTTGCCGCCGCCGTCTCGCTCCCCGCTCAAGCCCTCGCAGATTCATGTGGACTCTGCACACAAAAACACCGGAGCACTGGGTTCCCATCTCCACCGTTGCGTCGTTCAAGCGCATGCGCGATTTTACGCCCCTCGGGAACGAATGGGTCGCGCGCGCCTTACGCGAGCAGAGCACGCAGCTCGAGGTTGATGCCGAGGGCGTCAATGTGCGTCGGAAGACCGAGGTACAGGAGCCCAAAGACCAGTTTGAGCGCAGTGTGTATGCCGTCAGTCGAGTTTTTCCTTCCGCGTGCGTTCGTTGGTGCTCACGGGAGTGTGCGTAAATAGAAAGGCTTCCCGGATGAGAACGAGACGCTGCAGGCTCGCCTCGAGGCGTTTTTTGAACAGTATGGACCGACGAACGCGGTGCGCATGCGACGCGACATGGACAAGAAATTCAAAGTGCGCCCAAGTGTTCGATGACAGGAGGTATAATTCATTCACAATTTATCTAGGCCTCGGTATTCGCGGAATTTACTTCGCACGCGACGACCGTTGCGTTTCTCACCGCATCTCCTCCGCCCACATTCGAGGGCACGCCCCTGCTCGTCATGTCGAAAGAGGATTATTGCGCCATGAAGATCAAGGAAAAGGGCCTTACCGGCAAGGCTGCGGACATGCGCAAGAACCTGTATGCTTCGGGCCGCAAGTTCGATGCATTTCGTGAAATGGCGTCGACCAAGAAGGGCGGGGCGACCAAGAGCGCGGCAGAAAAAGAGGGAGACAAGGAGGTGTTCCTCGAATTTATGGGGACCACGCTCCCCATCCAGCGGGATGAGAACGGCGTGGGCTCGGTCAACGAGGCAGATATCCCGTTCGTCAAGGGCGCAACGTTGCGGTTCGAGGGTGTCGACACGGAGGCAAAGGTCATGTTTAACGACATCAAGGTGAGTGGTATCGAGCGCCATTCCTTTTTGAACAACGCCAATGCCATCCAGGTTCCGCTAAAAGAAAAGTTCGGGCGTCCGCCATTCATCAAACACGCGAAGGGCGAGTCTTGGGGGCTCGTTGGATTCCACAAGGCCTTGTCAGAAGAGGAGATTCAATTTGTCAAGGACACGGTGCCCAAGCTCGGAGACAAGGAGATCGTCTGGAGTCTTGCCGGAGGTCAGTTGCATGTTGGTGTTTTCGGGCTAGAGACTGACGACGATGTGCAGAGGACGAAGAAAAACAGTTCCAAATCGAGCGTGCGCAGGGAGCTGCACGCGCCGCGCTGGAACAGGCCACGGGTGGTGGCTCGGGTGGGAGAGGGCGCGGAGGAGGACGGGGTGGAGGGCGCGGCGGGCGCGGCGGGCGTGGCGGACGGGACAGAGACGGCGGGCGCGGTGGGGGACGTGGGCGCGGAGGACGCGGGGGTCGCGGTGGAGGGAGGGGCCGGGGCGGTGGCGGGGATCGAGGGGAAGGGCGGGGCAACAACGCTGGTAGCGCGGAGAACGGGGGTGGGGACGACGCCGCGACTGGAGAGAAACGCAAGCGTGCCGTGGAGCCAGATGGTGGGCCGGATGTTGGGGTGCGCGGCAAGGGTGCGCCGCCAATCATTGCCAGTGCAAAAAAGGCAAAGGTCGAGGGTGGTGGTGAGGCGATGGAGTCATAACGCGCCGGAATAAAAACAACCATCTGTAATTATTTACTCGTATGTAGTAACTACATGTATCTTGGGAACCGCAATTCGTACGCGATAATTAAGGCGCAGGACGGGAAGTGATATTGCATAAGCATTCATATGTATCTCGTTAATTAAACAGACTGTGCGTGCGGTATACGCAGGTGTGCTGAAAACAGGGGACGCGGAGACAAAAATGCTCACTCTGAGGGTCGAACTCAGGACCCTTGCATAACGGAGGTAACCTCATAAGTACAATGCACTACCACTGTGCTAAGCGAGCATCCTCAAGGGAGTAGTAGCTATGTCTAGTCACAATGATAAGCTTGATATATATAGGTGATAGAAATGAGATCCTTCATTCATCAACATTATGTGTATGTTCTCTTGCGAGGCCCCCCATTCTTGTCATAAACTGTTTGCAGGTGGTGTGAATGTTTTGACAAACAATATAGATTTTATGCGAGTCTCTTAATTAACTGAAGGCTTTCATTAGCAAACAAGATTTCAGGGTATTGGGACACTAGGATGAAGAACCTATGTCAAATTCACAAGAGAGTGACACACTTTGCATGTTGGACCTGGAATTTGTTTCAGCAGAGAAGTTCTGGGTCATGGCACTTGAAGGATGAATTGCTGTATTGTTTCTTCCCCCTTCTTCTGTAAAGTGTAAATTTGACTGTAAATATCACATGACTTGCACCAATGGATTCCATCACACAGGGGGCAAAACCCCATGCAGTATGATTCATACTGCCAGGGATGCAGGTCAGCTGCAGTACACTATGCAGTATAAAATCATACCACCTCAAGGTGCCTCAGAACAGTAGTGGCAAGCCCGGTTCTAAATTTAAAATCTGCAGGCTTATATAATCCATCAAACACTAATTTGACGGCAAAATGTCTTGAGTCTAGGGTTGCACACCATCATCACCTTTGCAGGTGTGACAGGGCCTGTTTATGGGTCACTGTTATATCCTGTGCTGATGAAGGAGGCTATCATTGATGCTAGGGTTAGGTTTTCTTTATGGGGAAGTAGATAAGATAAGATATACCTTATAAGGAAACCCTAACTCTAACTTTGATTTTCCCAATTGCTCTTGGCTGAGCCTTCTCCTTACAAGGCAGGTCTTTATTTCCATTTTTGGACATTGTGTGTACATGTTGTGTTACAATATCCTGAGCATATCCCGAGTCCATATATGGTAGCCATCAGACCTCAGGATATTGTAAGGATATCCTCAGTATGTTTCAAATATCCTGAGCATATACGGCCTCCGTATTTTGCAGGTATATTCTGGGGATATTTGTTATATCCTGAGCATATCCTGAGCATATACAGGCCCTGTATATTTCTTATTGTCCCCAGTGTCACGTGCTGTTGACTTTGCCGCAGCAACGTGAATCAACAACTCTTGCTTCCGCTCTCCCACCTCCACCCTCCGTCCTCCGCACTCCGACTCCAAGATGGCACCCTTTGCCGGAGAATATCGCAAGGATGATGGCCACAGTGACAACGACAACAGGAACAAAGAGATGTCAGGGGGCAAAGGTGCGTCACAGTTTATTGGAGGTGAATTTTGCTAACCGGAGGTTTTCTAGCATGCGAGCGATGTGTGTTGCGGCACATTCCGTGCGTTGTCGAGCTGGGCCTCAATCACGCCTGCAACGGTTTTCGGAGCAGCCAACTCAAGTGCTCGTTGGTCAAGGTTGTGAATCCCTGACCCAACAAGCATTGTGCCGAGAAAGGTCGGACATCGGAGGCGACCGGAGTTGCAGGCCCAAGTCGGCTGAAGAAGAAACAGCACGTCCATTGCCGCCAAGCGCGATCCTACGTCGAGTCGGACGACTCGGACATGGTGATCCTCCTGGATTCTGTTAGACGTCCGATGCGTACAATGTGCATTGATGACCTCCATGTATCTTTGTGGAGGATGGACCGTCAATTGGACGAGATTTGGAGGGACGCAGAGCAGAGTCGGAAGCGGCTTTATGCCATGCACTGGGCAGTGACAGGATTGTTCACCGGCGTGAGGGAGCAGTTCCCCTCGTGGGCCGAATGGCCCCAGTGGCTCTCCAAGGCCGAGCAGGCCTTGGAATTTGACTGAGAGTCCGCAGAGAAGGAGTTGAAGAGGAAGGTTCCAGTCCGCAGGGACTCCGAGAGTTCAGAGGAACCCAAACCAAAGAGGAAGAGGTTGGAGAAGAGGGAGAAGACGCCGGAGGAGTTCGGAGGAGGTCGGGCGAGGATAAGCTCGCAGAACCTCGACGACGACACTTGGGGTCTGGGACCCGAGTTCCAGTTGAAGCTGAAGACACTGACAGCGCCAGAGGCCGTGGCGACCCCACCAGAGGCCTTGACGACCATGCTGGAGGCCTTGATTGGCTTTTTGTCGAGCTCCGAGGGCAAAGGAAGGAAATCGGAGGAACCAGAGGATGAAGGGAAATCAGAGTCGGAGGGAGGTGGGAAGACCCTGGAGGAGGAGGAGATGGATGCCGACCCCAACACAGACGGGGAGGCCAAGATGGATGTTGATTCTGACAAGGAATCAATTCCGCCAATCGTGAGGGTATAGGGGGTCGCATAGGTGAAAGAAATGAGTCATATATATATATAATTTCTTGAGACTTAATAAAATATTTTCTTGGATTTTTGTGTGAATTTAAGTTGAAATTTGGAGGAGCTTCAAAGGCGATCAGAGGATCGCAGAGTGAAAAGAGGACATTAAACGTCAGGTCTGGGTTTGTTGGGGAAGCGATGATGGAAATTGTTGATATGCTCCGGAGCATCGACATCATCCTTGCTAACCCAACTGAATTGTTCATCGGTGTTTTCATAGCCTTCCCACTCGACGAGGTATTGGAGGCGAGTCCAGAACCATCGGTCAATCTTTGAGTCAACAATTTGCTTGATCTCGAAGTGTTCCTCACCGTCAATGATTTCGACGGCTGCTGGAGGCGGTTCCTCACAACCAGGGAAGGGATTCGGGAAGTGAGGTTCGAATTGGGAAATGTGGAAGACCGGATGAACTTGTTAGAGAGATTTCGGAAGACAGATGGTGTAGGAAGCCGCAGAGGGCTTAGCAATGACTTCGTAAAGTCCGAGGTGAGTCTCCGAAAATTTCGGAGTCGGACATTTCGTCCGGAGGTACTTGGTCGAGATGAACGCAAAGTCGCTGATTTGCATCCGAGGGTCCGGTATGCGTTTTCGGTCAGCAGTCTCTTTGTAGCGCTCCGAAGCATAAGTGATTTGCTCACGGAGATACTGATGGAGATCCTGAAGATTGACTGTGTAATCTTTGGCCTACATGTTCGTGACATCACGCTCCAGGTGGACAGTGATGGCCAGATGGTAGCTTTTGTTTGCAAAGAACGGGAAAACTTCGGTCGATGCATTCAGAGAGTTGTTCAAGGCAAATTCGGCGAGACAAAAGAGCGGATGCCAGTCGTCCTGCTGGTAAGCACAATAGATCCGGATGTACTGTTCCACCGTCTGGTTCATGCGTTCTGTTTGTCCGTCGGCTTCCAGATGATAACTGGAGGTGAAATGAAGCTCCATATTGAGCAGTTGGCCCAACAATCAGAAGAAGGAGGAAACAAATTCGGAGCCCCAATCACAAGTGACATGGAAGGGGACACCGTGTTTGGAGAAGACGTGATCAAGGAAAAGTCAAGCAAGTTCTGGAGAGTTGATGTGTTGGTCGCAGGGTACGGGAATGACCTGCTTTGAAGACCGATCAACGATGATGAGAATGGCATCATAAATGTCGGAAAGAGGAAGTTACTCAATGAAGTTGATGGAAATAGAATGCCAGGGCCAATCGGCCACTGGAAGGGGTTTCAGCAGTCCGTAAGGTCGGTGCTGAGTTTTCTTGTTGCGCTTGCAGAGGATACATGATCAACAGTAGGCTCAAACAAAAGTCCGAACCTCTGGCCAAGTGTACTCACAGTGGACAATAGCGAGAGTTCGATTCTGTCTGAAATGGCCAGAGAGAATGTGATCATGCTTATGCTGCAGAACACGTACTCAGAGCTCGGTCAGAGTTGGACCGGAGGTGAGTGGGACGTAAATTCGCTCGTCAAGTCGGAGTAGGCCAGTGGGATCGATGGTCCAGCGTGGAGATGTGCTGGAGGTTGCAGCGGTGAGGCCAGAGACTGCGGCGGGATCATTGTTAAGGTGAGATCGGATGTTGGAGTGAAGCTTCTCAACGTCCATAAAAACGGTTGCTCGGAGGACAATTTCCTCGAGATAAGTTGCCCAGAGTGACGCGGTGAGCTGTTCTTGGGTGAAAATGGGACGAAAATTATGAGGATTGACGTGACCGTAAGTCTTATCCCCCTCTTTTGGGTAGACATCCCATCGTCTAGTTAACACGTCGGGCTTGCCTCCGAGTTTACCCGGTCGGAACCGGATTACCATATTAAAATGGCAGAGGTACTCGGACCATCGGACTTGGCCACAAGTGAGGATTTTCGAAGTCACGAAGTATTTGAGGTTCCTGTGGTCCGTTACGACATCGACCGGAGTGCTGGAACCTTCGAGATAATGACACCAAGTGGTGAAGGCATCGAAGATTGCAAGTAGCTCCTTGTTGTGAGTGTCGTAGTTGAGCTCCGAAGGTCCGAGAGTATGGGATCAGAACGCAACGGGGTGAATATCGCCGTCATCCCTGGTGATCGAGAGGATAGAGGTGATGGCGTAGTCGGAAGTGTCAGTCTGACGGTGATCTGTCGGTCCGGTATCCAGTGTGATAGCACTGGAGCTTCTGTAAAGGCTCGTTTTAGACTGTCAAAGGCGAGCTGACAGTCTTCCGACCAATTCAATGCGATGTTCGCACGCGTCAACCGAGTAAGCAGGATGGTGATCGCTGAGTAAGTGAAGATGAAATGTCGATAGAAGTTTGCGAAGCTGAGGAACAATTGAAGATCCTTGACCTTGCGAGGTGTCGGCCAGTCCGTGATAGCGGCAATCTTCTCCAGAGACATCCGGAAGCCCTCGGGGGACAAAATGTACCCAAGGTACTTGCAGGTGTCAACTCCGAATTCGCACTTTGGAAGTTTGCAATAGAGTCCAGCCTTTCGGAGGTGCGTAAGCACCTCTCAGACATGCACAGTGTGGTTGGCAGGGTCGTCGGAGTAGACAAGAATGTCGTCCAAGTAGATGACCACATATACATCAAGCAAGTCGGTGAAGATGGTGTTCAGGAATTGTTGGAAGGCTGCTGGAGCGTTGGTAAGGCATTCCAGAACGACTCAGAACTGGTAGGACCCGTAGCGAGTGCAGAA